GTGGTCAGCCCGTCGCCGTGATGTTAAAAGAAGGGGGAGACCTGGCTCAGAAAAACTAGGAGCGAGAAGGACCTTGGAATGGTTGTAGATCACAAGCTAAATCTCAGCCAACCATGTCAGCTGGCTGCAAAAAGTAGCCCAATGCTCTTTGAGGCTCCATTAATGGAAGTATAGTTTCCAAATCCTGCAAGGTGCTAGTCCCCCTCTATTCAGCCCTGCTTACGCATCACCTTGACTATTGTGTCCCGTTCTGGACCCCACACTTGAAGAAGGATGCTAAAAAATTGGAACAAGTTCAGAGGAGGGTGACGAGGATGATGATCAGGGGACTGGAAACCAAGACTTATGAGGAAAGGCTGAAATAAATGTTTAGCCTGAAGAAAAGAAGACAGAGGGGTGATATGACAGCACTTTTCAAAGACTTGGAAGCTAGTCATACAAAGGAGGGGCAGGACCTGCTCTCCATCATCCCAGAGTGCAGGAGAAGCAACAGAGGGCTCAAGTTAAAGGAAGCCAGCTTTGAGTTGAATATCAGGAAAAAATTTCCTAACTATTAGAGCAGTACACTAGTGGATCCCATGACCTTAAGGGGAAGTGTTGAGTGCTCCAATACTGGAGGCATTCAAGAAAACGTAGATAATCACCTGGCAGATATGCTTCGATGGTATTCCTGCCTTGAGCAGAGGTTTCTTCACTTTTCTATGATTCTATGATTCTAATCTTTGAGACTCACATTGTATTGCAGTTATTGATATAATAAACTAATCAATCACTGGACATTTTGTTATGATGTTAGGGTTTATCTAGTTTAGTTCACTTTAAACCACCAGGTGGCAATGCTCGGTCACCTGCCTGTTTTTGCTTTTGTTTGTTTTTACTATTATTTATGCATTCTTTCATTATTTCACTGTGTACATTTTAATTATGTCAATCTCCCTGAATAGTATTTCACTAAGACAGGCAGTATGGTGTGTAGGCATCTCGAGAGATGATGGTAACGTGCTCTGTATGGACGTCTTGGAACAGCGTCTAGTGTGGCTGAGGAGGCCAATTCGAGAGTGACAATCCCTTCCACACCGAAGACAAATACAATCTGTACCCCATCCAGCTCCCTGTTTTTGCTGGTTTCGGGACTGCCTCTTTGCCTCAGCCTGCTGGACAAGGGTCTCTTCAAATTGGGAGAGGTCGTGATGCACCGCCTGCCTCCAGGCTGAACGCTCAGATGTCAGGGTTTCCCATCTGTTGAGGTCCATTCCTAAGGCCTTCAGATCCCACTTGCAGATCTCCTTGGATTGCAGCTGTGATCTCCCTCTGGGGCGCTTTCCCTGCACTCATTCTCCATACAGGAGATCCTTTGGAATCCGACCGTCAGCCATTCTCACGACATGCCCAAGCCAACGTAGGCGTCATTGTTTCAGTCAAGTATACATGATAAAAATTCCAGCTTGTTCTAGGACTCCTCTATTTGGAACTTTGTCCTACCAGGTCCTGGACAAAGCCAAAAATCCGTCAGACACAATGCATGTGGAAGGCATTCAGCTTCCTCTCCTGCCGTGCACAAAGGGTCCAGGACTCACTGCAGGACAGGAGTGTGATCAGGACACAGGCTGTATAGACCTGGATTTTGGTGTATGCCGTCAGCTTCTTATTAAGCCATACTCTCTTTGTGAGTCTAGAGAACATGGTAGCTGCTTTGCCATTGTGTTTATCCAGCTCGACATCTAGGGAGAGAGTGTCAGAGATCGTTGAGCCAAGGTACACAAAGTCATGAACAATCTCCAGTTCTTGTGTAGAGATGGTAATGGAGGGAGGTGAGTCCATTCCCTGACCCATGACTTGTTTTTGCCAAAACGTATGTGACAAAACCACAATCCTTCTGGGAGAATGGACTGTGGATAGATGAGACAAAAGTAGCACTTTTTGGTCAAGGACATCATGGCACTGTTTACAGAAAAAGAAATGAGGCATTCAAAGAAAAGAACACAGTCCTTACAGTCAAACATGGTAAAGGTTCAAATACGTTTTGGGGTTGCTTTGCTGCTTCTGGCACTGCTTCTGGCACTTGACTGTGTGAATGGTATCATGAAATCTGATGATTACTAAAGAATTTTGGGGCACAACATAGTGGCCAGTGTCAGAAAGCTGCGTCTCTACCAGAGGTCATGGGTCTTCCAGCAGGACAATGACCCAAAACACACTGAAACAGTTACAAAGCAAGCGCTGGAGAGTTCTGAAATGGCCAGCAATGAGTCCAGATCTGAATCCCATAAAACACCTGTGGAGAGATCTCAAAACAGCAGTTGGGAGAAGACATCCTTCAAATCTGAAGGCCCTGGAGCAGTTTGCAAAAGAAGATTGGTCCAACATTCCAGTAGAGAGGTGTAAGAAACTCATTCATGGTTACAGGAAGCGATTGATTCCACTTATTTTTTCCAAAGGGGGTGTTACCAAATATTAAGTTAAGTGCCAATAATTTTGGCCAGTGCATTTTTGGGATTCTGTGTGGGATTGTATCAGATTTGACTTTTCTTCTCTGTTTTGTGTGTGTGTGTGTGTGTGTGTGTGTGTGTGTGT